CAAAGTGCATCTATGATAGCCCCAGAGAAGGAGTTCCTAATATTTATATCAAAAATCGTTTTTGAGGCATCGTCCTGTGCACTGAGAGGTCACCAGGTTCAATTCCTGGTCAGAGCACATGCCCCGGTCGCAGGTTCAGCCCCCAGGTGCGGTGCAGTGTGTACAGGAAGCACTGGTCAGTTTTCTGTCACATCAATGTGTTTTTCTCCCTCTCCCTCTTTCTGTAAAACCAGTTTTTAAAAATATTTTTTAAAGTAGTTTTTTGAGGCGGTAAGCACACAAGACAGTGTGCAGATGAGGTGTTGTAGAACTGTGCACTGAAACCTGTAAAATTGGTTGACCAGTGTCACCCCAGTCAACTCAGTAAAAAGTAAAAACAAAACAACAGCAAAAAGTAGTTTTACCCAATCGTCCTTCAGCTGGTGAATAGATGAACAAAATGAGGTCTGTCCATACAGGGGAATATTATCCAGCCATCAAAGAAATGAGGTACTGATACGTTCTACAATGTGGACGAACCATGAGAACATTCTGCTAAGTGAAGGAAGCCAGTCATAACAGGCTGCATCGTGTATGATTCTGTTATATGAACCGTCCAAAAATGGGCAGATCCATAAAGACAGAACTAGCATAATGGTTTCCAGTGACTGAGGGGAGGAGGGGAAGGGGAGTGACTGCTGGTGGGTAAAAGTTCCTCCTTGGGGAGATAAAAAAATATCCTAAGACAGTGGTAATGGTTACACAGTTTTGTGAATTATATCTAAATTAAGCTGTTCTTTTTTAAAAATCTGCCAGGCTTCTGAGCTAGGCAAGCGTGGGGCACACCCCGAGCAGCTCAGCTAACGCTGAAAACGCCGTTCAGATTTCAGCTGCTGCCTACCTCGGGGAAGACGTTGGGAGTTTGAGTTCAGTTATGTTCAAAAATACCAGAACGGTGGCTCCCTCTGTGGGTAGAACTGGACGGTGTGGCCTTCTCAGTCGCCGGGAAGGAGAGAGTGCCAGGAGCCAGAAAGGCAGAGCGCTGCCTGCGTCTGTGGGGCCTGAAGCCTTGCAGGACTTGCCAGCCTCCTGGTTCAGGAACGGGATAAGATCAGCTGGAGCCCTGCCCTCTGCTGGCAGCGGCGGGAGCTGGTGGCCTCGCTCAGGGGTAGGTCGCGTGTGGTTCCAGTCCCCGGTACCTCGGTACCTCGGTCCTGCTGGCTTTGCACCAGTCCGCATGGCATTCTCATCGCAGTGCGCCTGACAGACCTTGACCTCTGTGAGGAGTGTGTTTTCTAAGAAGATTCAATTTCACAACTGACCAGATCTGGAGGCAGCAGTAGTTTGTTGTGAAATCATAAGCGAGGTGGTTCCCTGAGGCAAGGCCCTTCCCGGCAGGCCCAGTGACCCTCCGGAACCCGACCGCTCCTCTCGGCACCTCAGGATTCTTCCCTGCGGGTAGAAATGAGGAGGCATGGAGCATTCTAAGTCACAAGTCACCGTCTGTATGTGTGCGGAGGCCGGTAATTGGTGGAGGGACTGCGAGTTGGAGGGGCCTCCTTTCCCGCTGCGGCCTGCTGCTTGCAGGGTGAGGCCTGCCTGGTTCGGTGCATGACCTGCTCCCACCCCTCCAGGCCACGAGGTCAGCTTTTTCATTTTGGTTTGCTGAGCATTTCAGCCTCATCTCGTGTGTCTGTCTCAGCAACCACCGTTTATAAAAGGTTTTAAGAAATACACACTTTTACTATATATATATATGTGTGTATATATATAGTGTCTGGAGAAGCTAATACCCAAAAAACAATAGTGATTGCCTTTAGGGGTGGGAGCTATTGTACTTGTTGAGTTGTGTGAGCATTTCTTACCACGTACATATGTTATCTGCTCAAAGGGTTTTCCCCTTTGAACCAGCCGCCGTGAGGCAGAGATGGGATGATATTGTGGTGATGTCTAAACTGAGACAGTGGCAGGTGGGGAAGAGAGGGCTGGGTTTGAGATAAATTTCTGCGGCAAATAGAAGTTGGATGAGACTGATGACAGAGACTGTGGCTGGAGATGATCAAGTAGGAGGAATCCATGAGTGGGAAGCTGGCTGGACAGGAATGGATGTCTTTTCTTTTTTTTTTTTAACTTTATTGATTTTTTACAGAGAGGAAGGGAGAGAGATAGAGAGCTAGAAACGTCGATGAGAGAGAAATATCGACCAGCCGCCTCCTGCACCTCCCCCCACAGGGGATGTGCCCGCAACCAATGTACATGCCCTTGACTGGAATTGAACCTGGGACCTTTCAGTCTGCAGACCGACGTCTACCACTGAGCCAAACCGGTTTCGGCAGGGGTGGATGTCTTTAACCGCATCTGGAAGGCAGAGCAGTGCCAGCAGGAGGTGTCTGAGGGGCCTCTTGGCAGAGCTGTTCGGCCGGCAGCTGAGTTGCAGCCTGGAGAGAGGGCAGGGCTGTGGAGATTGACGTGGACGTTTCAGAATCTGGGGGCGTAAAGCCAGCGAGCATGCTCGTGCTTGGAGAATGGAGAGGATCCCAGGGCGAGCTCACCCTGGGCCGGAGGAGGAGGGCAGCAGGAGGCCGTGAAGGTGGTCAGAGAAACGGGAGGCTGGAGGCCTGGAGCCCCAAAGAGCAGAGTTGTGGGAAGCAGTGTGTCGCCGGTGTTCGGCGCCGCGGGCAGTCCAGGAGATCACTGAGGACTGGGAGAGCCGGCTGTGCCGGGTGGAGGAATGAATGAATGGGTTGAGGAAGGATGAGGGGTCCTGTGTGCCAGCTCTGTGCTAGGTTCAGAACATAAAGTGGCCCCTGTCCTCAGAGATTGGACTGGCGAGGGGAGGAGGCAAATACAAAGAGAATTTTGATACGACTTGGTAGGTACAGTGGTGGAGAGAGGCTGAGGGTATTATGAGAAAGCAGAGAAGGTAATTTAACCCAGACTCGGATTAGTGGAGCAGGTGACTTGGTAGTAAGCCAGGCCTTAGAGATTAAGTCATTGAATCAGAGGATTAGGGTGGTCTGGCTGTGGGAAAGACAGCCCAGGTGGAGGGGACAGCATGGGCGTAGGGCACAGAGGTAAGAAAGTACAGGCCTGTGCTCAAAAGCGAGAGGTTCAGGCAGACAGCAGTGAGAGGTGACGGAGGTGGGCAGAGGGTGGAAGCCTCCTCGGGTGCTGCCCCCTTGCTGTCTCACCTTGTTATTAGCTCCAGCAGTCGTTCAGTGGATGCAGTGGGAAAGGATTTTCTATTATAAGGTCATGTCATCTGCAAATAGAGATAGTTCTGCCTGTTCCCTTCCGATCCGGATTGTTTTATTTCATTTTATTGCCCATTTGCCTTCGCTAGAACCTGCAGAACCAATTTGGCTTGTCCCTGACCTGGGGGAAGCGGTCAGTCTTTCCCACTCTGTGATGTTAGCTGTGGCTGTTCATACACGCCCTCTGCCAGGCTGGGAGTCCCTCTAGTGTGAATATTACCTTTACAGTAAACAGAAGCAGAGATTTTAAGAAGATGTGACTATTTAAGTACCTGGCGTTTACAGTTTATTACTCAGTGTGAATCTGATCTTTGTTGATATAACTTATTCTTTTTGTTACCTTTTATTGTCTTTTATTCTCTTTCTAATTACCTTTAGTGCATTTTATTTTCATCAATAAATTTGTCTTTCCTTAGGTCAGATTTTTTTAGGAATTTCTCTTCCATCACAAACAAAAAAAAAAGTCGCAGTGCTTTATGACATGGAAATTGTCTTTATATGATATCTTATTTGAATCCCCCTTTTACAGAATTTTTTAAATGGAGACCAGAATACTGAAATCATTTGTCAGCAGAGCAGGGCCCTGGGCTGCTGCTTTGGGAAGTGACTCAATAAATACTCCTTAGAACTCAGCTCGACATATTGAATGCAAACATCATTGGCTCAGCGTAGAATTTCAGGGCTACTTTCCACTGCATTCGATTCCTGGGGCTGCCACAACGTATTATCACAGGCTGGGCCTGCTTAACACAGCAGGCATGTGTTCTCTCACAGTTCTAGAATTCCCAAATCCAGGGGCTGGCTTGGTTCCAAAATCAAGGGTGGGTTTCTTCACGGGTCTCAGGACAATCTGTTCCTTGCCTCTCCCAGCATCCAGTGATGGCCAGCAGTCCTTGGCAGTAATCCTGGTTTGCAGCTGCCTAAATCCGGTCTCTGCCTCTGCCACATGGCCGCCTTGGCCTCTGTACGTGTTTCTCCCCCGGGCTGTGTGTGTGTGTGTGTGTGAGTGTGTGTGTGTGTGTGTGAGTGTGTGACTACCATTCCCGTTGTGTGTTCTCTTCTTTTTTTTTTTAATATATTTTATTGATTTTTTTATAGAGATGAAGGGAGAGGGATAGAGAGCTAGAAACATCGATGAGAGAGAAACATTGATCAGCTGCCTCCTGCACATCCCCTACCGGGGACGTGCCCACAACCAAGGTACATGCCCTTGACCAGAATTGAACTGGGACCTTTAGTCCGCAGGCCAATGCGCTATTCACTGAGCCAAACCGGTTTTGGCTCTGTTCTCTGTTCTCTTATAAGGACACCAGTCATGTTGGATTAAGGGCCCACCTCTACTCTAGTATGATTTGATCTTAACGTACATCTTAATCACACCTACAAAGCCCCTGTCGCTAAGTAAGTCACATTCACAGGTGTCAGGGGTTAGGACTTCAACATATCTGTTATATATTTTTCAATTGACTTCAGAGAGGAAGGGAGAGGGAGAGATAGAAACATCAACGATGAGGGAGAAGGAGAGAGAGACAGAAACATCAAGTTTCTGATGAGGGAGAGAGAATCATTGATCGGCTGCCTCCTGCATGCCCCACACTGGGGATCGAGCCTGCAACTCGGGCACGTGTCCTTGCCGGGAATTGAACTTGGTCTCCTGTTCAGAGGCCACGCCAGCCCGGCTACTATCCTTTTTGAGGGAGCAGCAGTTTAACCCACAACAACACTAACAAGGTTCTCTGTTCCCCCTCCGCAGGCGCCACATGCACCATGGCCCTCGTGTCGGCTGATTCCCGCATCGCAGAACTCCTCACCGAGCTCCATCAGCTGATCAAACAAACGCAGGTAACAGACCGCAGCCCTCCATTCCTCCAGGGGCACGTGGGCTGTGCTGCTGAGCTGTGGAGCAGGGGTGGGGGTTGTTCTCAGAGAGACTGGACGGACAGGACCCAAGGTGATGTCAAGAAGGTGAGAGGAGCCGAAACCGGTTTGGCTCAATGGATAGAGCGTCAGCTTGGGGACTGAGAGGTCCCGGGTTCGATTCCAGTCAAGGGCATGTACCTTGGTTGCAGGCATATCCCCGGTAGGGGGTGTGCAAGAGGCAGCTGATCGATAACTCTCTCTCATCAATGTTTCTAGCTATCTCTCTCCCTTCCTCTCTGTACAAAATCAATAAAAATATATTTTAAAAAAAAAAAAAGTGAGAGGAGGGCAGGACTACCATTCCTGTTGGATTATCCATCATGTGAGATATTAACTCACATGCCTTACAATTCACCCATTTAAAGTCTATGATTCATTTGTTTTTAATATATTCAAAGAGCTGTGCAACCATCACCATGACAACTTCCGAACATTTCGTTGCTTGACAAAGTGCCCCTATCCAAAAGCAGTTATCCCTTTCTCCTCCCAGCCTGACCCGGTAAATGAAGATACTCTTTTCAGGCAAGAATGTCCCAGGGTTTAGAGGTTCTCTCTCAGAAGCTGGTCAGAGGCCAACCCTTTTTTGGAATGTGCAGGGTTTGAAAGCCCAGGCTTGCTGAGTTAATTAATCATTTACTGCGTGCACCACCCCCGGCCCTGGGCCTAGGATCTTCTTCAGCAAAACAATCGAGGCTGAGCATCTGAATTTAGCATGTACATCAGAGATACAGCAATAATAGCGGCGTGGAGCAGCCTGCGGGGTAGAGAGGAACTCAGAGAAATAACTACTCTGTTCTTAGAGCCTCTGCATCCCATTTTCTTTTTTCATATATATAAATATATTTTTATTGACTTCAGAGAGGAAGGGAGAGGGGAGAGAGAAACACCAGTGATGGGAGAGAATATTAATTGGCTGTCTCCTGCATGCCTCCTACGGGGGATCAAGCCCGCAACCTGGTCACGTGCCCTTGACCGGAATTGAACCCAGAACCCTTCAGTCTACGGGCCGATGCTCTATCCAGTGAGCCAAATCGACTAGGATGCATCCATTTCTTTATTGTTGAACTAATTCGATTACTCATTTCCCCTTTACCTACCACTACTTGTATATTATGATAAACTCGTGGAGAAATTTTTAGCACAGAAATGAGCTGATGGTTAGCAAAATTTACTTCTTCCTCAGGCCCCTCATTTTCTGTGAGCAACACACCGAGGCTTTGGCTCAGTCTCCCAATTCAGTTGGTCATCAACACCAGTGTCACCATATCACTTGTTTACATAAGTAGCTGCTCCTTACCAGCAGTGGCCGTGTCACACCACAGGGAAGTGCGGTCACGGTAAAACTCCTTCATTACGGAACAAGTCAGCGAGTCACAGGCTCTTCGGTAGGTACGTCTTCCCAACAGAATTGGCCCTGCCCCTTGACCGGCTATTGCTATGGGCAGGCTTTATTACAGTGGCCCTGATTCCGTTATTTCTGGGGTGTCAGTCAGCTGGGGATAAAGCCAGTCATCCCTCTCAGCTCAGAGGCTTGTACTGAGCCTGGCTCCCTGTGTGTGCTCTCGTACCCCAGGGCCACCTCCCTCCTAAGGGGAGCACATTCAGAATACAAGTCCCAGACCTGCTAGCTGTTCTTTAGGATATGCCTTATTTTGATCTACTCTTGGGTCGGGATAGTCAGGGTGCATCGTTACACCTTACAGGTGCCCAGAGGGCTGCCGTAGGTGTGGAGGTCAGAGCATCCCAGAGTGGTGCCCCTTGGGGCTCAGCAGGCGGCACGGAGAGCCTGTGCCGTGGCTGCGGTAGCCTCCATCTGGATTAAAATAGCCAGGAGCCTGGTGGTCAGGGTGCGAGCCCTTTCCCAGCAGCAGATGGGTCCTGGAATCAGTATCGTGAGTGGCGTTGGCCGAAACCATTCACTGAAGCTTGGTCATCCTCCCAGGCCGACTCGTCCCTCCCCTGCTCTGGAAAGAGAACTCACTTCAGTCTTTTTTTCAGATTCACACATCCTTTCCCCTGAGTGTTGCTTCTCGCCAAAAGTGCATTTAGCTTGTCCCTCACCGCGCACACCCTTTTCTAGTGGGGGCCAGTGCTGCTTACTCCGCTGTGCCTTCTGTGGCCGCTGTGCTGATGGCCTCGGTGCGGTTAGGATACACATTTGTGCCCAAAAGTGTTGGGTTAGAAGTGAGGTCATCACACCCGGATGTAACTTAGCCTGAATCTCTCAGACAGCCTTTCAGGAGCTTCCCGGCTGGGGTGGGCTGTTCCCAGGGAACTTTAGTGCCTAGTGCTTTTGTCGAAACCCACCGCCCCCCCCACTCTCTTTCATAGCTTTTCACTTACAAAACGAGGGTGATGTGTGTCTGTGCACAGCAGCCACAGTATGGCGGGTTGCACTGCCCATTGGGTCCGTTGTCCCTTTGTGGGCATTCCATCAGGATGGAGCAGTTCCTAGAAATCCCTTCCCAGACAGTATCCTCTGTAGTGGCCGTAACCTGGAAAGTAAGTTAAAAGGCCCTGGCACACATGGTCCTAATGAAAGAACCCAGTCTGAAAGGTCACAGGCTGTATGATTCCCCTGAGCTGGCCTTCCGGAAGAGCCAAAATGAGAGAGGAAGAAGATACGGGGCTCGGAGGAGGGGGGCATGAGTAGGGGAGCACGGGGTTTTTAGGGAGTTGAAGTCATTTTTTTATATATATAATATATTTTATTGTTTTTTTACAGAGAGGAAGAGAGAGGAATAGAAAGTTAGAAACATCGATGAGAGAGAAACATCGATCAGCTGCCTCTTGCACTCCCCCTCCTGGGGATGTGCCCGCAACCCAGGTACATGCCCTTGACCAAAATCAAACTTGGGACCCTTGAGTCCACAGGCCGATGCTCTATCCACTGGGCCAAACTGGTTTTGGCAAGTCATTCTTTATGATACCCTGATGCTGTGCTCCTGACCGTGCTTTTGTCAAAACCCATGGATTGCACAACACAGAAAGTGAATCTAACGTAATCTATGGGCTTTAGTTAATAATTATCGGTTTGGGTTCATTAGCTGTAACAAGTGCACCTCACTAATGCAAGAGGTTCATAAAGGAAACTGCAGGGGAAAGCAAGTATCTGGGAACTCTTTGCTACCTGCTCAGCTTTCCTGTAACCCTACAACTGCTCTAAACGTGGTTCGTTAATAAAATATTAAAGCGTCGAAACGGTTTGGCTCAATGGATAGAGCGTCGGCTTGGGGACTGAAGGGTCCCGGGTTCAATTCCGGTCAAGGGCATGTACCTTGGTTGCGGGCACATCCTCAGTAGGGGGTGTGCAAGAGGCAGCTGATCGATGACTCTCTCTCATCGATGTTTCTAGCTCTCTATCTCTCTCCCTTTCTCTCTGTACAAAATCAATAAAATATATTTTAATAAATAAATAAATAAAGTGTTAAAGCTAAAGTAAAGTAGAATTGCTGGAATTCCAGTCGAGCTTCAGCGATGAGACCAGTTTGCCATCAGGTCATCGGACCAGACGCCTCTCGGAGGGCTGCGCTCAGGAGCGAAGGCTCCCGTTTGCCTCCATCCGGTTCTAAAAGCAGGAGTGTTCTTGGCACGTAGATGGCTTCACCCTTTTGGCATCGGGCGTAACCGAGCCAATAGTATCCTCCACCTCTGAGACTGTCTTGAGGCGTTAATATAATATTGAAATTCCAACATTGTGTAACCCACTCATCCTCAGCTACTATTTCTCCTCTCCCTTTGTCACTGATTTTACTCAGACTTTCCCACCCTTGGAAGGATGTAGGTCCAGCCACTGTGCCGGTCCAGATTGCAGGCAGCGGTGCCCGTCTGGCAGGTGTCATGTCCTGTCTCCTCCCCCTCCTTGGTCATGCCCATTAGGTAGGGTGGGGTTATAGAGCACAGAACTTAGTGGGCTGTTTAGACCAGTGGGCAGTATAGCCGCATTCACCACTAACTCCGTGTTGCCGAGTACTTGGGAGTCCTGACTACGAATCACCCATGCATCTGGCACCCTCAGTTGCAGCTGTAGTCGCAGGCCTGCTGATGTGGGGAAGACTGGTACCAGCATCCTTCCCCATCCCCCCTTCCCAGGTGAACTGATCGTAGATGTTGGTGTTAATTTCTAGACTCTCAACTCAGTCCATTGTTCTGTATGCCAGCATCACAGCATTTGACATCTGTAGCCTTGTCATAAATTGGAAATCGGGAAATGAGTCCTCCAATGTTTCTGTTTTTCTTTCAAGATTGTATTGGCTATTCTGAGTTACTTGAATTTCCATATGAATTTTAGAATAAGCTTGTCAATCTCTACAAAGAAGTCAGCTGGAACTTTGGGGGGGGGGGGGGGTATTGTATTGAATCCGTAGGTCAGTTTGTCTTTTCGGATGAAGGAGAGCCGAAAATCTAGATTATGATTTCACTTTAATGCCTTTTGTAATGCTTTCGCAGTAGTGGGGGGGAGGGGGGGCGGGGGAGTCCTTTTAAACTGGCCCTGAATTCAGACCTAGTAAGTGAGGGCAGCATGGATGGGCCTGGGCCTGGGTGAGGGTGCCAGCGGGATGGGGCCTCGCTCCCGCCCTGCTGACCTCCTCCTCGCAGGAAGAGCGCTCGCGGAGTGAGCACAACTTGGTGAACATCCAGAAGACCCACGAGCGGATGCAGACGGAGAACAAGAGTGAGTAGCTGGCTCTGGAGAGGAAGGGGGTGAGGAGCGATGTGGCCACGACTGCCGTCATTCCCAAAAGGGGCTTTTGTGTGAATCTGCCGTCATCCAAGATGAGCTGCCCCTTAGGCCAGAAGGACAGTTTCCCTGAGGCTGGGTGGCCCACAGGGACCTCGGAGACAGACACCAGACTGCCTAGCCCTGAGGAACCTTAACTCTCCCAACTCCGGGGACTGAAAAGTCAGTGAAATGGGGCTGCGTCTAGGGAAACACCCTGGAGGGGACAGGCACCCGGTTAGCGGGTGTTTTCTAGGGAGCTTCCCTCCCGGGGGGCACCGAGGGCCCCCGCTGGCCAGGCTCCTGGCCTTGGGCTTTCCGCTCTGAGCAGCTTGAGATCGCTGTCTGATTCCCATGTGCTGAGAAGGACTCCCTGGGTGTCACGCTATGGCAAAGGAAAGAAAGTCCTCCCTTGGATGCAGTGATGGCATTCGTACCGTATGAAATGTGAACGCCCTGTACATGCGGTTCAGGTCCTCGGGGAGCACTCTGAGCCAGTGGAGCTCATGCCTCGGTCCATGGCTTCTCTGCCTCCCAAGGCCTGATTGCAGCACACGGGAAGCAGTGCCAAGGACTGCCAGCTGCCCTCGCCCACGCTGTCTCCTGTGCTTACTCTGCAGTCTCTCCCTATTACCGGACAAAGCTGCGCGGCCTCTACACAACTGCCAAAGCCGACGCCGAGGCTGAGTGCAAGTGAGTACCAGCCGCTGCCTGCCATCGCCGCCCACCGCGCCCAGGGACCTATGGCCCACGGCCCCGGCTGCCTTCCTGGCACGGATGAGCCCCTCCCTTAGGGCCGCCTTCCCTAGAACCCACTTCCAAACTGCTCCCCACTCCCTAGCAGCAGGCAGGGGTCAGGTCCCAGCACTGCCATTTACCTGTCACGTGACCTTGGCAATCACCCCAGCTGAGACTCAGTTGCTCCGTCACTAAAATAGGAACAATAACTACCTATAGAATTGTCAACCTAAATGAGATAATGCATATAAAGTGCCTAAGGCTCGTGTTTTACAAACTCTTGACCGTCACTCACATCAGGAAATGCATTCTCTATTGTGGTGGCAATAACAGGAACAGGAACAGCTCTTTGTGGCCTTACTGTGCCAGGTGCTGGTACAGTAGTTTCTATAGTTACCTCATTGAACCCTCAGAGCAACTCTAAGATGGGATTACCCCTTTAACAGATGAGGAAACTGAAATACCAGAGGGTCGTGTAATCTGCCAAAAGACACAACTAGTAACGGGGGAGCCCAAAGTTAAACCAGAGCCCTCATTCTCTAATGTTTCTACTGGTTTTTAGAGAGAGGAAGGGAGAGGGAAGGAGAGATAGAAACATGATGAGAGAGCATCATTGATTGGCCGTCTCCTGCACATCCCACACTAGAGATCAAGCCTGCAGCCCGGGCATGTGCCCTGACCAGGAATCGAGCCACGACTCCTGGTTCATAGGTCAATGCTCAGCCACTGAGCCACGCCGCCCAGGCTCAATCATCTCTTTTTAAAAGGCCTCGAAGTCTCCCACTAGCAGCAGGAGTCACAGGGCAGCAGGCTCAGAGACCTCCCTTTCCATATACGGGTGGCCGTTCCCAGGTGGGACCCGGGCACTGACTAACCTTGGTGCAAAGGGCATTTCTCCAGGTGCAGCTCAGTAAGGCGCAGTGAACAGCATGGGGTGGAGGGTAACCCTTTGGCTGGAGATAGCGGGTAACTCAGCCTCAGACGCACAGAGTGCCAGCGAGGAAAGGTAGTGTAGGAGTGGGTAAGCCAGTGCACACAAAGGTCATTTAGCTTTCCAAGAACCGGAGGACTCAGGCTAAATGTCACGTCCCTGGAGGAGAGAACGGGTGCCTGGGGCCTGGGCAGCAGACCACTTGCTGGTGGGCACCTGCGACGTGGCTGTTGGTCCATATTGCTGACCAGAGGAGTGCTCTGGTCTTGGCACATCTCAGAAGCGTCCGCTCTCCCTGCTCACCCCTGACACAGACACCTCGCGATGGCACCGAAGCCACGAGCCTGAGGAGCTGACGGTTAGGACCTCGGTCCTCCTGCCGCAGATGGGCAGAGGCGAGGGCGTGGGGAGGCAGCTCGTTTCACCTGGCTTAGCTGCTTTGTGTCTAGCTTTGTGAGCACAACTCCCAGAGGAGACCCAAAAGGAATTAATTTTGCCTTTTTAAAATGTCACCCTGACCAAATAATTACACTGAATCTGCATGCAGCAGAGTCAGAGTATTTTAAAGGGCCTTCCTTCCTCCTGGCCAGCAGGGCGGTGAGAGGTTGACGGATGACCGTTAGGGCTCAGAGCTCTTGGCTGGATTCCAGCAGAATGTCAGCCGGAGGAATCCCCCCTCCGCTGGCGCAGGTGAAGCGGCTCTCGGGGTGGCCTGCTGCGCATTGCTGCCAGGCTGGCTGGCTGCCTGTCGGGTAGGACCTGGCAGGCGACGTGAGGCTTTTATGGTTCTGAGACGGAGAAGTTTCAGTTCCAGGAAACTACTTTTTAAAAAGTAACTGATCTTAAAACATTGTCACCTCAGATCTCTGCAGCGAATCTGCAATGACTAGAACAGCGGCTGCCAACTGGCGGTCCGTGAGTCTGAAAGGTCGGCGGCCGCTGGCCTGAGGAAGGCTTCGGAGCAGCGGTCACCAACCAGCGGTCCGCGGGCCACGGGTCCAGGAGGTCCCAAAGGCTGGCGACCCCTGCTTTCGGACACGGAATTACATTCCTCTCCTAGACATTCGTAACGGATTACCAACGGCTCTGCTAAGTTCTGCAAAGGAGTTTTTGAAATACGTTTTTATTGATGTCAGAAGGGAGAGGGAGAGAAACATCAATTATGAGAGAAGAGAATTGATCCACTGCCTCCTGCAGGCCCCCTACCAGGGATCGAGCCTGCAACCCAGGCATGTGTCCTGACCAGGAATCAAACCAGGATCTCCTGGTTCATAGGTTGTTGCTCAGCCGCGGAGCCACACTGGTCGGGCTATCTTACCCGCTTTTGTATGCTTTTAAGACTAAAGCCAGTATGCAGGGTTCCTGGTTTTCACAAGGTTTGTCCGCGTGCTTGCCCAGGAGAGGAGTCCGTGCTCTGTGCGCCTCATCCAGACCCCTTTCCCTCCTCCCGCCCTCAGCATCCTCCGGAAGGCCCTGGACAAGATTGCGGAAATCAAGTCTCTGTTGGAGGAGCGGCGGATCGGTGAGCTGGAGACAAGTTAGCTCGGTGTTCCTTGACCAGGCGGAGTGAGGGTTCCTGAGCAGCTATGTCTTCCTGCGGGGGGGCCTGTACCTCAGCCTGGTGTGGTCGGAGGGGCCATGGCTGTGACAGGGAGGGGCACAGGGCAGCCTGGGACCGGGAAGGGGATGGAGGTCGGTCCCGGGGTCAGAGGCAAGGCCTCCCTGTTCTCCCTCTGCAAACCACGCTGGTGTGCCCCAGTCCCTCAGGTTTCTCTCCGTCCTCGCTTGGCGGTCACCTGCTGCCCCAGGCCATTTCTTGCTGAGGGGAGAGCCTGGCTGTTAAGAGAGCCACAGTGGGTGTCTTGAAGCCAACCTTTCAGATGGGGCTTTCAGGGTGCTGGCTGCCATATCGCTTCAGATGCTGCCCCACCTCTCCCTCGCCCCTCCAGTGAGCCCAGGGGCAGCCTCCTCGCCCGTGACGCTGTCACACTGCCAGCGGGGGGAGTTGGCTGGGTGGATTGAGCCATGCCCACGGAGGTAAGGGCTGGCTCTGTCCACATTTGATACTTTTTTTATATATATATATTTTTTATTGATTTTTCACAGAGAGGAAGAGAGAGAGATAGAGAGTTAGAAACATCAATGAGAGTCATCGACCGGCTGCCTCTTGCACGCCTCCCCACCAGGGATGTGCTCGCAACCAAGGTACATGCCCTTGCCCGGAATCGAACCCGGGACCTTTCAGTCCGCAGACCGACGCTCTACCACTGAGCCAGACCGGTTTCGGCTTGATAGTTCTTTTAACTTGATGCTTAATTATATTAATAGAAAATACATGTACGTATGCACACGGCTCAATAAAACTTTCACTAACTTCACAAGTAGATGTAACCAGCACCCGGATAAGAGACATGACCCGCACCTCAGAATCCCCCTTTCGCCCTCTTTGGTTCTTTCCCAAAAGGTATCCACTGCCCGTCTCGCCAGGGCAAGTGGCCTGGCGGCCTCTCTCAGGCCGGGAGCACACCTGAACCCTGGGTGCTAACTCCTGGGGGAGCGGGGCAGGCTCCCTCTCGCTGGGGCTCAGGGCTCCCTTCCCCCGCAGCGGCCAAGATCGCGGGCCTGTACAACGACGCGGAGCCCCCGCGGAAGACCATGCGCCGGGGCGTGCTGATGACCCTGCTGCAGCAGTCGGCCATGACCCTGCCGCTGTGGATCGGGAAGCCTGGTGACAAGTGAGGGCAGCCCCGGGGCGGGGCGCTGGAGGGGAGGAGCTGGGACTGACCCCTCATCCCCCTCAGGCCGCCCCCACTCTGCGGGGCCATCCCGGCCTCCGGGGACTACGTGGCCAAACCTGGAGACAAGGTGGCTGCCCGGGTCAAGGCCGTGGACGGGGACGAGCAGTGGATCCTGGCCGAGGTGGTCAGTTACAGCCACGCCACCAACAAGTGAGTGGCACGCCCCGCCCTGTGGGGACTGGGACGCGTGCGAAGAGCCGGCTCCTTGGGCGACTCCCTCCTCACCCTCCTCTCGGCCCCGATGGGCGTCCACCGCCCTGCATCCTCTGCTCCTTTCCTTCGCCCGCAGGTATGAGGTCGATGACATTGATGAAGAAGGCAAAGAGTGAGTGTGCCGGGCGGGGCGGGGCGGGCGAGGGAAGCCGGGAGAGCCTGCTGCTGGGCAGGAGCCCCGCCTGCCGTGGTTTGACCCGGGCGCCCCTCCAGGAGGCACACCCTGAGCCGGCGGCGCATCATCCCCCTGCCCCAGTGGAAGGCCAACCCCGAGACGGACCCCGAAGCCTTATTCCAGAAGGAGCAGCTCGTGCTGGCCCTGTACCCCCAGACCACCTGCTTCTACCGGGCCCTGATCCACACCCCCCCACAGCGGGTAAGGCAGCCCCCGGGGGGAGCGTCCAGGGCACCAGGACCACCGGCTGACCAGGGGTCAGGGGTCGGTCCCCTTCCCTTTCCTTCCTCTTGTCCCTGTGGCCTCTGAGCTGGGAGGGTCCTGAGCTGTAGCCCCTCCAGCCTGTCCTCCACGCGGTGCCAGCCGCCTGCAGAGCTTAGAAAGCCCCTGTGTACCCTCTAGTCTAGTTTCCTTTTGCATTGAGGTGGGGAGCCTGCGCCCCGAGGGGAAGCGCCTTGCTCAGGGCCAGTCTTCACCCCCGACCCCTGCCCTGATGGCAGGTTAAAGGCTAGTGTCCCTCTTCCCCCAGGACCCCCTGCCTGCGCCCACTGCTTGTCTAGTCCCCTTAGCATAGGGCCCCCTTCCCTTGTGGCCGCCTGTGGCTAGCGAGGCCTTTTCCTTGCTGTTCATCCCCGTCCTCGGCCCTTGGTTGCTGAGGGCTCTGTGGCAGGGAGTAGGTTAAACATCTAGAGTGAAGGTGAGACGGGAAAGGCCAGGAGCCCACACACCAGAGGTTCCTGTCGGTCTAGGCTTTGGGGGAAGAGGGACGCTGGCCTGGGCTTTCTGACCAGCCCCCCGTCTGCCTCCCGCTGCAGCCCCAGGATGACTATTCGGTCCTGTTTGAAGACACTTCCTATGCAGATGGTTACTCCCCTCCCCTCAATGTGGCCCAGAGGTATGTGGTGGCTTGTAAGGAGCCCAAGAAAAAGTGATGCAGGCTGGCAGTCTCCTGCCACCTCGAGGGGGCATGCGACAGACATGACGTGAGGAAATAAATGTTCTTCCCCTTCGCCACGTCTCCTGGGTTCTTACCTTCCCCACAGAGGGCAGGTTGGGGGGCTGGGGCCTCATCTGGTCCCAGTGGCATTGACTCTTTCTTTCGGCTCAGGTTTGTGTTCCTTCCAATAGACACACTCCACGCAACACAAACTGTACTTTATTCTTGAGGCCCGAGCCGGGCACTCGCACGCTCCCGGGGGGCGGTCCCATGGGCACCGCTCACAGTGCTGAGTGGAACTTGAGGTCGCAGCCCGCCATCTTCTCAGCGTAGTGGGCATCAAAGCGCTCGTTCTGGGCCACAGTGAACATGGTTTTCCAGTCCCCCGTGATGCCTGGAGGGGGCGGGGGGAGGGAGGGAGGGGGGGAGGGAGACAGGCTTGAGGTGCTGGCCGAAGAAGAGGCCCCAAGTGACTCAGGGCCAGCTCTAGCCACTGCTCCCGCCCTCACCTCCCCAGCGCCCCTCCCGGTGGGCACTCACCTTTCCTCATGAAGGCGGAAATGCTGTGATCCATTAACTCCACGGGCAAGGTGCTGTAGTTAGCCATGGGGTTCTTCTTCATCTCCTTGAACGACGTGTGCCGCACAATGTGATCCACGGTCTCCTCTGGCAGGGAGCGTCCCAGGAACTCCAGAATCTTCCGAATCTCCCTTTTGGGGTTCTGGAGCAGCAGGGGGCTCTCAGTGGAGGCGGGTTGTGCATTGGACAAACAAAAGGGAGGCCCCACCCGAACCGCATAGCCACTTCCGACCCTGCTCCGGGACTCTGGTCCCTGGACTCTGGCCCTCCTGGGGCAGAATTAGTTGCCTTCTGCCCTGTGATCTGTTAAGAAGCTGTATCTGGCTCCTCGTGGGTGAGGCAGGGACAGCCCGGTCATAACCAGGCCCGGGAGAAGCAGCAGCAGTAAACGGGTGATCAGTGACTGCCCTTGGCACTGCCTCCAGCGCTGGGAGGTAAGAGCTGTACGGAGTGTGCTGCCACGGGGCAGGGAAGGTGAGGGGTCTGAGGACCGTGTAGGGTCTGCCATAGAGAAGCAGGGCGTAGAAGGCCTTGGCAGTTCCCACGAGACCCTGCACCCCTGTGCAACCTGGAGGGCAGTGGCAGCGGGGCCTCACCTCCTGCATGTCCTCGTAGAAGAGGTAGAGAACAGGGTGGGAGCGCCTCAGCTCCCACCACTCCTGCACGTGCTCGTACCAGGACCCATAGGACACTGTGGAGAAGGCAGGGGGCAGGCAGAGTTGGTATTCGTTCCAGCTGGCTGCCCCTCAGCCCACCCCTCCTTCCTCAGTCAGGCCCACCTTCCCCAGCCATGAACTTCTCCAGGAAGTTGTCCCAGGTGCCGGGCTCAGGGTGCACCTTGGCCATGCGGTAGAAGTGGTAATAGGAGACGGCCACATCCTTTGCGTTCCGGGCCACATAGATCACCTGGAGGGGCAGAAGACACCCCCGCCCCGTCACCACACCGCACCACACCACACAACAGGCACTAAACCTTCTTCTAAGCACCACACTCCACCCTGCAAGGGAGGTTCTCTCTGGGAAACAGGCTTAGGGGCTGACTTGGGTGTGGCCGAGCTGGGATTGAAGCCTGCTCTGATGCCAGAGTCCTGGCATTCTATACTAATCCAATCCTCGTAGCGCCTCTGCTGATTTGAAACAAGGCGTGCGGGATTCCTGCCAGCCCCTCCCCAGGCCTGTGAGCACCCAGGCCCTGCAGGCTTGCTGTCACTGTCCATCTTCCCCCAGAGCATGAGGCTGAGGGCTTCTCCCCCTTTGAGATGGGACCAGGCTTTGAGGAAGTGAGAAGGCCTTCCCAAAAGAGAGGGCCTTTTTCTCTAGCTGCCTCTGCCGCTCACCTTGACTTTCTGGTCCAGCAGGCCCTGTGGGACCAGAGCCAGGGGTAAGTGTGTCTTGAGGAGCCGCGGGGCAGGTGTATTGTTCAGAACCTCCATACCTAAGCCATGGGTAGGAAAGATCCCGTGAGCTGGAGCCCGGGTCCTCCCTCCCTCCACCTCACTGGCCTCCGGCACCCCACCACACACCTGTGGGGCACCCCGGACCCTTGAACTCAAGGAAGGGCACGCGGGTTAAGATGGGAGCCCTCTGGCACTTCTTCAAGTCGCCACCGTGGTAGATCATGTCCAGAATCTCACTCACCCAGGTGGTGCCTGGAGAGGAAAAAGGGAGGTAAGCAGGGCTGAGAGAACCCCCCGCTGGCCCACGGCGGGGACTGCAGCCCAGGAGAGCGGTGGGTGGTCCTCACCACCTACCAGACTTGGGGTAGGTGCTGACGAGCACGTCATCGGGCAAGGGCTGTAAGCTCTGCAGGGGCCCGAGTGCCTCGGCGAAGTACTTGATGAGAGGGATCCCCTTCACATACGTCAGCGGCGGGCGGGTGGCGTCCTGGACCAGCTCCATGCTGCCGCGTCAGGGGCCGGAGTGGGCCAAACTCCCTTAACAACATCACAACAACGTCTTCTGTTCGGTGGTTTGTTTTGAGGTAAGGAAACAGGCTGAGCAACTTGCCTCCACTTCCGGCGGATCTGACACCGTGGGGCCACAGCTCTGGAGGCACTCGGATTTACCCGCACAACTTTTAAAGCCCAGTGCCTGCCCAGCTAGACTGGCTCCAGGCGGCCAGGGCCCATGCCTGCCCTCCCGGTCCAGCAGGGCCTGTGGGAGCAGAGCCGGGGCAAGTGTGTCTTGAGGAGCCGTGGATCCCCAGTAGGGGGCGTGCAGGAGGCAGTCAATGATTCTCTCATTGATGTTTCTCTCTCCTTCTCTGTCCTCTCTGAAATCAATTTAAAAATATTTATTTTTAAATCCCAGTGCCTGGGCTACACCCCGAGCCAATCAGATTGCTCTGGTGGTGGGGCCAGGCGACGCCAGTGTGAACTTGGGAAAACCCCTCCTCCGGGGCCTGCCAAGTGTTTTCATTCTGTGCTTCCTGCTCCATCTGGTCCCAGCGGCTGCTCCCAGCCTCCCCTCCTGGAGCTCCCCGAGCTCCTCACAGGAGAAACCTCCCCAGAGCCCCTGGGCCTGAGACACAGCTTGCTCAGCCACTCTCCGCCTCAGCTCAGAGATAAACGGCCAACTGAGCACCTGAGCTGGTTTGGGAGCCATTCTTGTGTGATGAGCAAAACATGCCTCAGCGGGGAGGGAGGAAGAACGGGTTCAGGCCAGACAGCGGCTGGTATCGGACCGAGCTGGGATTTCCGGAGGGGAAAGGGCAGGGTCGGATTGAGCTGGATTTCGGGGGAAAGGGCAGGGTCAGTAGAGGAGGAATAGATCCAGCAGTGGGAGGTCTGGCCCAGCCCACCCTAGCCTGGCACTCACCGGACCTCTCCGGACCTTGGCCTGTGGCTCTCTGTTGTGCTGTCACGTAGCGTGAGTGCAGAACTGCAGAGATCTGCAAGTTTTATAGGTCCCAAGTGGGAGGGATTTGGAGCCAGCGCTGAGCCTTGGCTGTCCTCCAGGAATGGGTGGGGTTTGGGGTGGGAGGGCCCCCTCTCTGCTACCCTCATGAGCACCCCAGCTGACACCAGGATTAGACTGGCCAAGATGTGGGTTTAGTGTGAAGAAAATAAGACAGAATCAACACAAAAGGGCCTGGTAGCTTTTTGTGTGTTTTTGAGCTGTAATCCCGACTTCTGGCTTGCCCTCCAAACTCCAGCTCTGCAGGAGCCAACAGCTTTTTCTAATAAACTGGTCTCCAGAGGACAGTGGAGTGGAGGGGAAAGGTGGCCCAGGCCAGTCTGAGGAGCAAAGGTTCAGGTCAGGGGCAGCCCACAGGCCCCGGACAGCCAGGGCTGGAGGGATGTGGGGGGGCGGGTGATGGGGTTTGGAGCAGGCACTGCTCAGCAGGCTCTGAGGCAGCACAGGAGGGGAAAGAGCAGGAAGGCTGGGGGCTCATAATCCAGGGAGTGAACCCATTCCCGTTCCCATGGGCCCTCACCTGGATGGTGGGAGAACAGCCCAGAAGGTGCTTTTCTCTCCCTGGGTTAGAAGGGGGCTTGGCCTCTGTCCTTACTGTTTGGATTAAAGTCCAAAGTCCACTGGGCACTGGAGGCGGGTGAGCTCTGAGTCAAGGGTATGAGTCTCTGAGCCATCAAGAACTGTGACCTCAGCCCAGCCAGTGTGGCTTAGTGGTTGAGCATCAACCCAAGAACCAGATCAGGGTTCGATACCTAGTCAGGGCACATGCCTGGGTTGTGGACCAATTCCCAGTAGGGGCCATGCAGGAGGCAGCCGATCAATGATTCTCATCGGAGACAAAATGGCGGAAGAATAGATGGGCGGATTCTGAGCCCTGTCCCGAAGCAGAGAGAGCAGCTGATGGTCTTGAGCTGTGAGTGTTAGCAAGCTGGGAGACAGGAACACCAGAAGAAACTGCTGGGGGGCCGCTGACAGAGGTACCCCTCACAGGGAAGCACCCACGTGGGGCCACATCCCTTCCCGGAGCTACCTACCGGCTTGGACGGGGAAACCTCACCATCTTGAGAGGAAGATTGGATCGTGTCAAGAGGCCTGAATATCCATAGCCACAGCGACCACCAAGCAGCTGTGACTCCCAGAACGCGGATCCCAGGCGGCACGAACACTTGGCCTCACAGGAGTGCCCCAGGAGTGCCCCACCGCACGGCGAGGGTGGTGAGTGCTCGCAGTGCTCATGAAGAAGACAAAGACCAGCGCTCACAGAGCACACGGAAGCTGGAGGACAGGGGCGGTGATTACAAGTAGAAGCCCCGGCTGTTGGGCGGGTGTCACCCGTGAAAGTGGACGGGGCTCCTAACAGGGGAGATATCTGAAGAGCAACACATTTGGATCTGGCGCGGAGGGATATCGGAGAGTTGAGGAAGATTGCAGTTGCTCGGACTTGCCCCCTCCCCCCTCCATAGTTCCTGCTGCAGAGAGGATGGAGAAAAAAAGCTGGAGAGGCTTTAGAGTCTGGGAAGTCAACCTGGAAACACTGCCATCCAGAGGCTAATTCACAAATTGACTCTAGTCTAATAAAAACAAAACAAAACCTGCTAAAAAATCAGGACTGGAGCCGAGACCAGTTTGGCTCAATGGACAGAGCGTCGGCTTGGGGACTGAGGGGTCCCGGGTTCGATTCTGGTCAAGGGCATGTACCTTGGTTGCGGGCATATCCCCGGTGGGGGGTGTGCAAGAGGCAGCTGATCGATGACTCTCTTTCACCAATGTTTCTAGCTCTCTATCTCTCTCCCTTCTGCTCTGTACAAAATCAATAAAATATATTTTAAAAAATCAGGACTGGATTATAACAATAGAGGAAGCAAATGACCTTCATTACTGCAAATTTTATTTAAATTTTATTAATTTTTTAATTTTTGTTTTTTATTTTTGTCTTCATTATTTGCAATGTTTACTCAAAAAACTATTTTTCTTTTTCCTCACTTGACTTTATCTTTATAATTATTACATTGTATACATAATCAACATTATTACTACTACTATTTTACTTTTTTATCTTATTTTATTTTTATTATTTTTATTTTATTTTATTTTATTTTTTATTTCAGGATTACAGTTCTACATTCTTTATCTTTCCATCACCAACACTTTATTCTATCTCAACCCTACCTTTATGCCTTCACTCTCTTTCCAACCTTTTCCTTTGGTACCCTGTTTATCTTAACCCTTTCTTGCTCTAGATTTTCCCCATTCTTTCTATCTACCCCCTCCTAAAATTTCACCCTACTTGTATATATCTAATTTCCAACCCCCTGCTCCAAGCCCATTCACACCTCCCTTGCCGCTGTCCTAAAAACAAAACAAAACAAAAGTCTTTCTCTCTAACTCTTTGAAGTTGTATGTTGAATGTTAACTAGATATACTTAAGTTGTATGCTTTTTTTATAAGATTGATTTGCCTATTCTTTTTGTTTGATTGTATGTTTTTGTTAGCTGGGTTCTAGTCACCTTTATTGGTGGTTATTAATATCGCAAACACATTTCTATTCAGTGCCTTGTGTGTTGTACCTGGTTGTGTTGTATTTTGTGCCTTTAAATCAAAGCAGGGGAGAGAGAACTACACAACCAGACATCCTAACAAGAGAAATCATGGGGAGACAATGAAACAGCCCGCATATGAAAGAAAAGCAGGCTTCACCAGAAAAGGAAGTAAACGAGATAGAGGCAAGCAGCCTGCCAGAGCAAGAATTCAGAGTAATGATCATAAGATGGCTAAAAAGAATGGAAGACAAATTTGACAATATGAGTAAGAACCAAGAGGAAATGAAGAAGAACCAAGAAGAAATGAAAATTGACATCACTACCATGAAGAACTCAATAGAAAGCATCAAGAGTAGACTAGAAGAAGCAGAGGACCGCATCAGCGAGCTAGAAGACAAGATGGAAAAAAATACCCAATTAGAACATCTTCTGGGGAAAAAATTAAAAAGCAGGAGGAAAGTCTAAGGGAACTTTGGGACAATACAAAACAAAACAATATTAGAATAATAGGGGTTCCAGAAGGAAAGGGAACTGAGGAAGACATGGAAAATGTATTTCAAGAAATAATGACAGAAAACTTTCCTGAGATAGAGAAGAAAAAACCCACACAAATCCAAGATGCTCGCAGAGTCCCAAGCAAAATGAACCCCAGAAAACCGAACCCAAGGCACATTATAATTAAACTGGCAAACACCAACGACAAAAAAAAGAATTTTAAAAGCAGCCAGAGAGAGATAAAGTTACATATAAAGGAACCCCCATCAGACTAGCAACTGACTTCTCCACAGAAACATATCAGGCCAGAAGGGAATGGGATGAAATAAAGTCATGCAAAGGAAGGGTCTGAATCCAAGAATACTGTACCCAGCAAGGCTATCAATCAAAATTGAAGGGGAAATCAGGAGCTTCACAGACAAAAACAGACTAAGGGAATTTATCTCCACCAAACCAGCAATGCAAGAAATGCTAAAGGGTCTACTGTAAAATTAAAGAAATAGAAAGCAAAGAAGGAACACAGGGGTATAGAATAAAAATGGCGTCAAATAAGTACCTATCAATAATAACTTTATTGCAGCAACCTGGATGGAATTGGAGAACATCATGCTGAGTGAAATAAGCCAATCAATGAAAGAGAAACACCACATGACCCCACTCATTTGTGGATAATAAAGATCATTATAAACTGATGAACCAAAAGATAGATATAGAGACAGTAAAGCAACAAGCAGATTGTCAAATTACAACGGGGAGGGGAGGAGGGTCTGGGGGAGACAATAAATCAACCCAAGGACTTGTATACCTGCATATAAGTACAACCAATGGACATAAAACTCTGGGGAGGGAGGGGATACATGGGAGGGAAGGAGGGGGGCAAAAAAAAATCAATAAAATATGTAAAATAAAATAAAAATAAATAAAAAAATAAAAAAAAAAAAATAATAATAACTTTAAATGTAAATGGACTAAATGCTCCAATCAAAAGACTAGGGTAATGGATTGAATAAGAAAACAAGACCCATATATCTGTTGTCTACAAGAAACCCACTTCAGAAAAAAGATGCACACACACTGAAAGTGAAGTGATGGAAAAAGGTTTTCCAGACGAATGGAAATGAAAAAAAAGCTGCGGTAGCAATACTTATATCTGACAAATTAGATCTCAGAGTGAAGGACATAACAAGAGATAATGAAGGTCACTTCATAATACTAAAGGGAGCAATCCAACAAGGAGAAATAACCCTGGTAAAATATATATGCACCCAATATGGGAGCACCCAAAAACTGCTGGAGGACATTAAGGGAGAGATTAATAGCAATACAATCATATTAGGAGATTTTAATACCCCACTGTCACCCTTGGACAAATCATCTAAACAAAAAATCAGCAAAAAAATATCAATCCTAAATGACTCGCTAGACCAGATGGAATTAATCGAGATCTTCAGAACATTCCACCCCAAAGCCACAGAATATACATTCTTCTCAAGCGCACATGGGACATTCTCAAAGATAGACCACATTTTGGGACATAGGCAAAGTCTCTTCAAATTCAAGAAGATAGAAATCATATCAAGCATCTTCTCAGATCATAGTGGCATAAAACTGGAAATTAACTACGATAAAAATAATCCAAAGAATCAAACACATGGAGACTAAACAGCATGCTATTAAACAAGGACTGGGTTACCAGAGAAATCAAGGAAGAAATTAAAAACATCCTGGAAACAAATGACAATGAAAACACAACTACCCAAAATCTATGGGACACAGCAAAAGCAATTTTGAGAGGGAAGTTCATATCCCTACAAGCATATTGCAAAAAAAGAAAAAAAAAAAAAGAAAAAATGGTAACAAATTATCTAACTCTACAACTCAAAGAGTTAGAAAAAGAGCAACAAGAAAAGCCCAGTGTAAGCAGAAGGAAGGAAATAACAAAAATCAGAAAGGAGATAAATGACATAGAGACCAAAGAAACAATACATAAGATCAACAAAACCAAGAGCTGGTTCTTTGAAAGGATAAACAAGATAGATGAACCTCTAGCCAGGCTAACCAGGCAAAGAGAGAAGACTCAAAATCAGAAACGAAAGAGGTGAAATAACAACAGACCCCGCCAAAATACAAAGGATTGTTACAAAATACTACAAACAACTCTATTCCAACAAACTGAACAACCGGAGGAAATGGACATATTCCTAGAAAAATACAACCTTCCAAAACAATCAGGAAGAATCTAAAAATCTCAATAGACCAGTGACTTGGGAAGAAATTGAAACCGTCATCAAAAAGCTTCTAGCAAACAAAAGCACAGGGCCAGATGGCTTCACAGGAGAGTTTTACCAAACATTTAAGGAAGAACTAAAACCTATCCTCCTCAGACTATTCCAAAAAATTGAAGAGGAAGGAACACTTCCAAACTCCTTCTATGAAGCCAGCATCACCCTAATACCAAAACCAGATAAAGACAACTCAATGGAAGAGAATTACAGGCCAATATCCCTCATGAACATAGATGCCAAAATCCTCAACAAAATTCTAGCAAATCGGCTCCAGCAGAACATCACAAAGATCATACACCATGACCAAGTAGGATTTATTCCAGGAATGCAAGGATGGTACAATATCCGCAAATCAATAAACGTGATACATCACATAAACAAATTGAAAAATAAAAATCATATAGTCATATCAATTGATGCAGAAAAAGCATTTGATAAAATCCAACACCCTTTCCTGATAAAAACTTACCTCAACATAATAAAAGCTATATATGATAAACCCACAGCCAACATCATACTCAATGGGCAAAAATTAAAACCATTTCCTCTAAGAACAGGAACAAGACAGGGATGCCCACTCTTGCCACTCCTGTTTGACATAGTACTGGAAGTACTAGCCATCGCAATTAGACAAGGAGAAGAAATAAAAGGCATCCAAATTGGAAAAGAAGAAGTTATCCTTATTTGCAGATGACATGATATTGTACATGATTAAAAAACAAAAGACTCCATTAAAAAACTAATTGACTTAATAAATGAATTTGGCAATTTGCAGGATACAAAATTAACGCCAAAAATCTATGGGATTTCTATACACCAACAGTGAACTTATAGAAACAGAGACTAAAAAAGCAATTCCATTTACCATCGCACCAAAAAAAATTAAGATACCTAGGAATAAACTTAACTAAGGAAGTAAAGGACCTATACGCGGAAAACTACATGACACTGAAAAAAGAGATAGAGGAAGATGGAAACAGATGGAAGGACATACCATGTTCATGGATTGATAGAATCAACATCATCAAAATGTCCATACTTTCTAAAGCAATCTATAAGTTCAATGCACTCCCCATTAAAATACCAACGACATATTTCACTGACCTAGAAAGAACTCTCCAAAAGTTCATTTGTAACAATAAAAGACCCCGAATAGCCACAGCAATCCTGAGAAAGAAGTAAAGTAGGAGAGATCTCAATACCAGACTTCAAGCTGTATTACAAAGCCACTGTTCTCAAAACAGCCTGGTACTGACACAAGAACAGACATATAGATCAATGGAATAGAATCGAGAACCCAGATATCAACCAAAATCACTATGCTCAATTAATATTTGACCAAGGAGGCACGAATATACAATGGAGTCAAGACAGTCTCTTCAATAAACGGTGTTGGGAAAATTGGACAGATACATGCAAAAGAATGAAACTAGATCACCAACTTACACCATACACAAAAATAAACTCAAAATGGATACAGGACTTAAACATCAGACGGGAAACCATAAAAATACTAGAAGCATCCACAGGCAGCAAAATCTCAGACATATGCCAAAAGAACTTCTTCACTGATACTGCCCCTAGAGCAATGGAAGCTAAAGAAAAAATAAACAAATGGGACTACATCAAAATAAAAAGCTTTTTTACAGCAAAAGAAACCATCAACAAAACAATAAGAGAACATATTTGCAAATGTTACCACTGATAAAGGTTTAATCTCCAACATCTACAAACAGCTTATACAACTTAATAAAAGGAAGATGAATGATCCAATTAAAAAATGGGCAATGGACCTAAATAGAATATTCTCAAAAGAAGACAGAAGGAAGGCCAAAAGGCACATGAAAACATGTTCAAAGTCACTAATTATCCGAGAGATGCAAATCAAAACAACAATGCGGTACCATCTCACACCTGTCAGAATGGCTAACATCAACAAATCAACAAACGACAAGTGTTGGCGAGGTTGCGGAGAAAAAGGAACCCTCGTGCACTGCTGGTGGGAATGCGGACTGGTGCAACCACTGTGAAGAACAGTGTAGCATTTTCTTAAAAAACTGAAAATGGAACTCCCATTTGACCCAGTAATCCCACTCCTAGGAATATATCCCAAGAAACTAGAAACACCAATCAGAAAGGATATATGCACCCATAAATTCATAGCAGCACAATCTACAATAGCTAGAATCTGGAAACAGCCTAGGTGCCTGTCAGCAGATGATTGGATCCAAAACACTGGTACATCAACACAATGGAATACTATGCTGTCATAAAAAAGAAGGAATTCTCATCATTTGCAGCAACCTGGATAGAACTAGAGAACATCATGCTGAGTGAAATAAGCCAGACAATGAAAGAGAAATACCACATGACCTCACTCATTTATGGATATTAAAGAACATTATAAACTGATGAACCAAAAGTCAGATATAAAGACAGTAAAGCAACAAGCAGACTGTCAAATTACAGCGGGGAGGGTAGGGAGATCTGGGGGAGATAAGAGATCAATCGAAGGACTTGTATACATGCATATAAATACAACCAATGGTCACAAAACTCTGGGAAGGGAGGGTATGTATGGGAGGGGGGGCAATGTTAAAATATGTACACAGATAATAATTTAATTTAAAAAAAATGATTCTCATCATTGCTGTTTCTCTCCCTTCTCTGAAATCAACAGAAATATATTTAAATAAAATAAAAAGGAACTGTGATCAGAGGCAGGCCAGGGGGAAGCTGAGGCACAAGGGCCTCCAGCAGAGGAGAGGCAGGTCCATCTGGGGCCAGTGGCCCCTCCCCCTGCTTCTGTTCTCAGGCTCCAGTGACTGGCAGGGCCTTTGCCTCCTAACTCCCCACACACCCCCAGCAAATAACGGAAGATCCCCTTCACTCAGACTTTTTATTGTAAAAACTGCCCAGACCCTAAGGCAGTGGCACAGAAAAGGAATGGGTGGAGGGCTGGGGTGCTGAGGTCAGAGCTCCAGCATGTCTGTCCAGTGTTCCTGTGGAGACGAGAAGGGTGGTCAGAGGCAGCACAGGGGACAGGATTGGGCAGAGCCCAAAACCACCTCTCACCTCTTCTAATTCCGAGTTCTCCTCTTCCTCCTGGGAGCCCGTCCGACATAGCCAGATCAGGTCTCCCCACAGCAGTGAGTTCTTGCAGCTGCCAAGAGAGAGTCGGGATCACAAGCCTGCTTCAGGCTAGGCCCTGGGTGCCAAGATGAGAACTCAGCTGCCTGCTTTAACTTGTCTTCATAGGTAAATCAGGCTGGGGGCGGGAGGGAACTTACCCAGGGCATCGGCCCTCTAGCGGCAGAAGCTGCCCTGGCTCCCCCTGCAGGAAGTCCTCTGCCAGGCAGGTCATGTGGGCCCTTAGGGAGCAGCCAGGGTGGGGGCAACACAGGGGGCCCTCTTCATCCTGTCGGAGGGGGCAGAAGGGGAGGGAGAAAATGGAGAGTGGTGATGTAACTGACAGAATTCCTATGGATCAGACACTGTTCCGGGGGCTCCCTAAGAGACATGCTCTTACGTTATATCATAGATGAGGAAACAGGATGGAGGAGTTGCAATACTTGCCCATGGCGACTAAGCTGGCCAATTTTCTCTGAGTATTAGCAGTGACTCTACAACAGCACGGCCACTGCAGCTAGACATAGAGTTCCTCACAGGCTCATCTCTGAATGGCAAGCACAGGTATGTGCTGAACCAATCACATATGTGAGGGAGGTATGCCAGACAGCCTAGATGTTAGTAGGCTATACCATCTAGATGTAAGTGCACTCTATGATGTTTGCACCGTGAAATTGCCTGAGGACACATTTCTCACATTCCTAGTTTAGCAGCATGTGAGATATGCAGTTTACTTACATTTAATGTGAGTGAAAGACCTGTTATCTCAGTTTATACACTAAATATTTGCTACCTACTCTGTACCACACCCTTCTTCAGTACTAAATAAGAACTACCCTTGTGGAGTATAGTTTGGGGTGGGAAGGGTGTGAGACTGATAATAAAATAAAATATAGTTTGACCCCTGAAGAACAGGTTTGAACTGGGGTGGTCCATTGATACAGACCCCACCCCTACCCCCAAATACCCAGTGGGCCCTCCATATCCCTGGGTTTTGCATCTGCAGATTCAACCAACCACAATTTAAAAAACAGTATTTCTGAAGTTTTTTTGATCCAGGGCTGGGAATCCACAGATGCAGAGGGCTGATTGTATGCACTGTTCTATACCATCTATACAATAAAAGGGTAGTATGCTATTTAGACTGGGAGACCTTCCAGACAAAGCCATGGTGGCAGGGCCAAAGCAGAGGCAGTTAGGGGCGATCAGGCTAGGAGGGGAGGGAAGTTGGGGGTGACTAGGCCAGCAGGAAGTGGGGGCAGTTGAGGGCTGGCAGGGGGACAGTTGGGGGCGATCAGACTGGGGGGGGGAGCAGTTGAGGATGAGTAGGCTGGCAGGTAGGAGGTAGTTGGGGGGCAAGAAAGCCAGCAAAGGGGGGGGGGGTGAGTTGGGGGTGAGCAGGGAGGCAGGCAGAGTGGCTAGGGGCGATCAGACAGGCATTCAGGTGAGTGGTTAGGTCCGTGTTGGTGGTATAGTGGTGAGCATAGCTGCCTTCCAGGTGAGTGGTTAGGAGCCAGTGGTCCCAGATTGCGAGAGCGATGTCCCAGATTACAGAGGGTGCAGGCCAGACTGAGGGACATGCACAAATTTCATGTACTTGGCCACTAATTTTATATAAGGGACTTGAAAATCCAAGGAGGTAGGAAGGTCCTGAACCAATCTCCTATGGATACCGAAGGAGGGCTGTTTGGGGGAAGTAAAAAGTTATATGTGGCTTTTTTACTGCATGGGTTCAGCACCCCTAATCCTCATTGTCCAACAGTCAACTGTACACGATATGTTAGACAGTAAGTGTTAAAATTAAAATTTAAAAAAAAAAAAAGGAGCCCTGGCCTGTGTGACTCAGTTGGTTGAGCATTGTCCCATGCACCCAGGGTGGTTTGGATTCTGGTCATGGCACATGCCTGGGTTACCACGTTGATTCCCACTAGGGGGCGTGCAGGAGGCAGCCTATCAATGTATCTCCCTCGCCTTTCCTCTTTAAAATCAATAAAACCATATTTTTTTTTAAAAGGAAAGCAGTACCAAGAAAGTTGCAATTTTAGAAAGAGAGCCAAGGAAGACCTCGTGGGAAAGAGGCAGCATTTCATCAAGACCAAGGTAGAGGGAAGAACTTTACAGTGAGCGAAGGGCAAAGGTGCGAAGCAGGAATGGCCGCAAGTACTTCCACCCGCATTTGGGAGATGGAAGCCAGGCGCGCCAAGGATGCCGGTGGGCTTCGGCCTCCCAATCAACAGCCTGATCCGAAGTCGTCTGAACTCTAGACCTGCCCCAACCCGGAGCCCCGGGGGAGCGCTCACCGGAAGCGCGCGCGCGCACAGGGTGCAGGGGGCCCCGGAGTCCTGGCCCGGCGGCGACTCGGTGTCCGCAAAGGGACTGTCCCGACGCTTGGCGGCCAGCATCCGGGGCGGCGGAGGCCCGAAGGCCACCGGCACGTGAGGCGGCGGCGGCGGGCAGAGCTCCTGGCGGAAGTCGGCGCGCAGCCAGCGCAGTGTGAGCGGGAGGCGCGCCCAGGGCGGCGCGCGCAGCATGTGCGCCAGCACCCGCAGGTGGAAGGCGAAGGCGGCCTCGCTGCGCAGGCGCGGGGCCACGTGCGCCAGGCGGCGCGAGGCCTGCGGGTGCTGCCAGGCCCACTCGAACTGCGGGCGGGAGAGAGGGCTCAGCGCCGCCCGGGGAGGGCCCCACGCCCCGGGCCCTGGCCCTGCCACCCCGTCTCCCTCCTTACCCGGAGGGCGGCCACGGCGGAAGGGAAGCCGTGCACGATGAGCACCATCTCCCTGGGGAAGAGAACCAGGGCCTGGTGCGTAAAGCGCCCCCTTCCCGCCCCGCCCGTGTCCAGCCCAATCCCCTCGCCACGGTTCGCCTTCGGCCCTGCCGGAGAGTGGAGTCCTCACAGCGGGCGTCAAGCCTTGTCCTCGAGGCCCTGCCTCTCCTGAGAGGTCCGGGCCTCGCATCTCCAGCCTCAGCTCCGCCTCCAGTCACAGGGACGTACTGCCTTCCTCGGTTCCGCCCCTATCCAGGTTGCCTGTCTTCCATCCCGGCCCATCAGTCCCCTTCCTCACATCCCAGTCTCACCGGGCTCCTCCTCCCCACAGGCTCCTCCCCAGAGACAGGTCCCCCGACCTCACTGGCCACCCCCAGGCCCGGCTCTCAGCCCCGCCCACTGTCACTGTCCCTCCCCCGCGGCCCCGCCTCCTCCTTGAAGCCCTCCTCTCGAGCGACCCACCCTCTTACCAGGGACCGCGCCCGCTGGTCCGCCAGGCCCCGCCTTTTTTGCGGCCTCCGTTGTGCTGCTGGACACGGCGAGCAGGGTTGACGGTGAACCCCACGTAGACCCGGCCCCGGTGCCGAGGGTTCAGGCAATAGAGCAGGTAGACGCCGAAGAAGCCCCCGGGCCTCGCCGCACCCCCCTCGGGACCCATCGGGACGTGTGGGTTGACTGCTGTGGCCTCTGAGCTCGGGGAGGGGAGGGTGGGGATGCCAGGGCCGTGATACACTTGTCTGGGGGAAAGCTCTGGGTGGCGATCCCGGAGTAACCCGGCGGCTGCAGCAGCGCGGGTTCGGGCACCCTCTCCTGGCTGGAGCCCGTGTGTCCAAACCCGCCGCCGAACCTCAGGCGGCGGCGCCAATGGGCGGGGGGCGGGGGCGGGGCCCGGCCGTGCGCAGGCTCTGATTGGCTGGCGGGCGGCAGGCGCGGAGCCCGGGCGGTTGGAAACTGGGTTTCCGGGAGGGCGGAAGTGCTGCGCTTCCGGTCGCCTCAGTAAGGGCGGAAGTAGGGGCTACCGCAGTGAGGGTGGAAGCTGCGTGACCCGCGTGGGATCGGGGCTTCTGCCCACGCCGGGTCGCCCCCACCGGCCGCCATGGAACTCAGCGCCGATCACCTGCGGGAGAAACTGCGGCGGGACCTGCAGGCAGAGCACGTGGTGAGCTGCGCGGCCGGGACCTCCCGGCGAGGGCCAAGGGGCTTCTGGGCGGGCGGCCTGGCACCATCCACATGATTCTGCCCCTTAGGAAGTGGAGGACACGACTCCCAACCGCTGCGCGTCCAGCTTCCGAGTCCTGGTGGTGTCGGCCAAGTTCGAGGGGAAGCCGCTGCTTCAGAGACATCGGTGAGGCCCGGGCAGCCCCTCGCTCAGCGCGGTCCCGGCCCCACAGCCTCGGCCACTCCCCGCAACCCAACGCCCTCGCCCCGGCAATGCGGCCCAGTCCTGTGGGCGACAGCCCCAAGGATTTCGCCTTCTCGGCCCCTGCTGGGAGTATTGAGGCTTAGGCCCTCTGCCTCCTGTCCCAGGTCCTGGGCGCTACTTGAGGACACCTCCAGCCTTCTGGGTCTCCCTAGCTTCGGGGACTGTGGCTTAGGCCCCTGCGGTTCCCTAACAGCCTCTCTCCCGCAGGCTGGTGAACGAGTGTCTAGCCGAAGAGCTCCCGCATATCCATGCCTTTGAGCAGAAAACCCTGACCCCAGAGCAGTGGGCCCGGGAGCGGCAGAAATAAGAGACCAGCGCCTGCACAGCCATTAAATTATGAATGGGGCCAGCTTCTGTGTTGGTGTGTTGTGTGTGGGCCGGGCACTGAGGCTGTCTAGGGCCTGGCTTTCCCCTGCCCTGACATTCTTCATTGTCTCCTCCTTGTTTTAACTTGGGCAGGTCCCTCTCGCTCAAAGCCTCTGTGTCCCCACTTATAAAGGGACAGTTCAACCCTTAAAATCCCTCTCAGGACAGGCCTCACAGGCCTCCTGCAATGCTTGGAAAACTACCAACCAACCACCTATTTGTGGATAAGTGCTGGGTATTCCTGCCCTCTGCCAGCCTTTAAGATGCACAGATGAGCCCTGGCCGGTATAGTTCAGCGATTAGCGCATAGGCTTGCAAACCAGTGGGTCCTGGGTTCAATTCCCAATCAAGGGCATGTTTGATTTGATCCCCACCCCGGTCTGGGTTCAAGAGGCAACTGATTGTATGTTTCTCTTACATCTATATCCTCTCTACCCTCGCCTCCCCCTAGCCCTTCCACTCTAAAAATCAATGACAAAAAATCCTTGGGTGAAGAATAACAACAAAAATGCACAGATGAGAAAGTGTCAGAGTTTCAGGGCGCTGGCCAATTTAACCTTTTCCTCTCACCAGCATCACCCCAATGTCAGAAGCATAATAGAGGGTTCCACACTTCCCCTGCAGGCTCCTACAGGGACATAGTACCCCCGAGAGGGCTCTCCAACAGCTGGTAGGCTGATGTTTTCTGGCCCACAGGAGAAGGTCCACTGACCTTTTAGCCCTGGGCTTGGTGTGGCCAGGTGCCCTTGAGAAGACCATGTGGTTTTCCTTTATATTGATTTCAGAGAGGAAGAGAGAGAAACATCTATGATGAGAAAGAATCATTGATTGGTTGCCTCCTGCACCTCCACCCTGGGGATGGAGCCTGCAACCCATCCATGTGCCCTGACTGGGAATCAGACTGTGACCTCCCGGTTCATAGGTCAGTGCTCAACCACTGAACCACACCGGCTGGGGACCATGTGGTTTTCAAGAATGGAGGTATGGGCAGAGGATAGGAATTGAGGTAGAACAGGAAAATAAGGCCAACCAGAGCCACAAAATAGGGACAGGTAATGCTTTTAGTATCAGTTTATCAGCTTAAATACAAGTACCAGGATTGGTAAGGCCTTGCACATGAAGTCCCTGAGACCTAGTGGGCCAGGGCTTTGGGGAGCATGGATTACAGGTTCAGCCATCCCACCCACTCTGTTCCCCTGTGTTTTCAAGGCCAGTCTCTTGGCCCTTCACTCCACCTCCTCTCGTTTCTCTCAGAGGGAGAATGGGTGGGGAGAGCTGGGAGTCACCGTGATGACAGGGGAGCCCTCTGGGTTCCAGGGCTTCTTTCCTGAGCTGTTTTTTCAGGTCACAAGCCGCTCAGAAGGGCCATCCTCGTTGTTCAGGAGACGCTCAGAGAAGGCACCTCACCTTCCCTAGGCCCAGCGTCCAGGTTTCCTGATTCTTCCTCTCTCACCTCTGATTGGGTGCACACACTGTTCTCAGGGTTGTGGTATTCCTCCCCATTTCATTGGAAGAAGTAATTTGCCCAGAGTAACAGCTTGCTTAGAAGGCGAGACCAAAATGGGCAGACAGGGACAGTCTTACGGCTGCCTCAGGTGGTTTTCTCTGGCATGCTGAAGAGGCAGAAGGGGCAGCAGATGGGCATTGAGTCCTTGCCGCCCTGTGTGGTATGAACCAAATGCGCTGTGGCCAGGACACCTATTCCTAATAGCCTGTGTCCCTGCTCGGTCACCTGCTAAGGTGGGTATCAAACCCACTTCCAAGCGCCCACTTGATGGAGCCTGACAGGTTATTCAGGTCCCTATCGCAGAGGCCAGGCCCAGGGAGACCCACGGTAAGGGCTCAAGAGGCAGCACCCCTGCCCAGGAAGGCTCCTCAGGACCTGCCCTTCAACTGCTCAGTGCCTCAGTTTCCTCACCTGTAAACTAGGGTTGGGCCTTTGCTTTAGTTGTAAGCTTCCTCCTTACCAAAGGACCCCTCGGGCCTGCAGTTTGGAAGATGTCCTATAGGAGCTAGTTGTTCATTTCCCCACAAGCAGCAGTGTTGGTAGCTACATGTAACCTGATGTGGTTAACTAGAAAAGGCAGATCTGGGGTACACGTGGGAGTGAACGAAGCCCCAGGCTAGGGCCGTGAGTAGCTCACACCTGCCAGCTGCAAACAGCAGGCCCCAAACCACACCAGAGCGGGTGCTCCCGCCCACCAGACCGCTCTGTGGTTACTCAGCATTTGGAAGCATCCCTCAGCCCTAAGGCTTCTGAGGAGGAGCTCAGAGTCAGGTCAGACTCGGCACTCAGGTGCACAGTCATCAGAGTCAGAGGTACCAGAAAATAAAGCCATTTTATTTTGTCTGCCACAGTGGCCTAAGGAGTGGGAGGAAAGGAGCAGGGGAGGGAGGAGAGGTGCGGGGGGAGGCGATGCAGTGGGCCCAGCTCAAGGCCCCAGAGCGTCTACTTGGCCAGGACTGTCTCCTCCAGCCTATCCAAGCGCTTCTGGAGCTCCTGCACCGTGGCCTGGAGCTTCCTCACCTCCTCCTCCAGCCGGGACACGACGTCCTGGAGGACCCAGCACTGCATTAGGCCCAGCTCCACCCAGGGCTTCCCCTTACCCTGCCCAGGAGCCCCAGGGCCTGCCAGTTGCTGCCCAGAGAGCTGCAGGCCTCCAAGCCGGAAACCTGCTTTCTGAGGCCTGGGGATTACCCACTGCCAGCTAGCTTCCTGTGAGTCCGGCTGCCCTGGGTCAGTGACCACAGCGATGGCAGCCCCTCCCCGCCCTGTCTTCCATCCTGACTCCAGCCTCCCGTCCGCCTCTCACCGAGCTCGGAGCGCCACTGGCCTCCGGTGCCGTCCTCCTGCGCCCGGTGTCCAGGCCCCGGTTGACCCTCAGCTCCCGGCTCTTTGGGGGCACGTAGCCATCCTTGAGGGAAATGAGGAGGGGCCCAGCATCCCGGCCCCCCAGCCACTCCTCGGCCGTGAGGGCAGCGTCAGGCCCTGCCGTGGGCGGGTACAGGTCCTCCTGGAACAGGTCCGACTGGGGGGGCAAGACCAGGGCTGGTTAAGAGCGTGCTTAGGCCACACCTCCACCCTGCAGCCCTGCGAGGTGTGCCCGGCCCAGGGCCCGGGAGGGACATGGCGTCACCTTTCTGGGCACCGTCATGGCGATGGGCTCACATTTGCGCTCGTGCAGCTTGTAGAACCTGTGGAGACAGGAAGGTGAGCAGCGCCCACAGCACTGCTGGGCTGAGACTGCAGGCCAGCGTGAGGTCAGGCTGCCCGGGAGCATGCTGCGGGCAGGGGCAGGGGGCAGTCACCTGGCAATCTCGCACTTGTTCACCTCGAGGCCGCGCTTGGGCATGTAGCCCATGCCGCGCTGCGACTCCTTGGAGCTGAACATGGAGAGATAGTGCAGGAACGGCGCCTCGGCAGTGATCTCGAAGTAGCGGATGGAGCTGTCGCCCTGTGGGTGGTGGGTGGGGGAGATCAACACCGACGGGTGCAGTGCCGGCAGCCGTGCCCCTTCCCGCCCCCTCTGCCCGCCCCTCTCCCCGCCCGCCGCTGGGCACCTTGCCACAGAGGTAGACGATGTTGGTGTCGGGATCGAAGAAGGGCAGCAGGACGCCGCTGCTGGTGTCCAGCTCCTGCAGGGACAGCGGCTCCTGCAGGTGCTTCTGTAGAGGCAGGCGGAGAGAATGAGCTGGGCCAGGGCAGGCCGGGGGTGCCTTCACTGAGCAGTAACCGGGGTGGGGTGACCCTTGCAGAGCATCCAGTGGAAACCCCATCTCAGGCGGGCAAACGGGCCTGGGCATAGACCCGGACTGAGCCTGAGTCTCCTCACCGTGTCCCACAGCGCCACCTGCCGCTCGCTCATGCGGCTGAAGCCCGTGGTCAGGATCTTCCCGTCGGACACGAACACAGCCCGCACGGGCCGGGTCCCCTCGTGCGGACGGTCCTTCTCCTGGAGGGGAAGGGATGTGGTCGGCCAGGCACCAGGACACACGCCCCACGGGCCTCGCCCCAGGCAGGGGCGAGAGAGGACAGCGTCTGGCAGCCCGGATGCGGTGGGTAGTGGGGGTGAAGGTCCCTGGGTCAGGGGTCACTCACAGCCACCACGGTGCCTTTGCGGGGCTCGATGAGGCGCACGCGCTTGTCCCGGCACGAGGTGCAGATGAGGGCGCCGTCCCGGCTCCAGTCCACGCTGTAGATGGTGTCGGGGTGCACGTCCGCGCCCAGCGTCAGCACCGCCGCCCCGGTGCCCACGTCCCACACCAGGATCACGTTGTCACAACCTGGGCGATGCCCCCGTGTCAGAGCCAGGAGCCGCCCGCTCGCTGTCAGAGGCCGGCCCGGCCCGCCCCGCCCCCCAGGCACCTGCGCTGAGCAGCACGTTCTGGGCTGTGGGGTGCCAGACAACGATGCCCACTCGCTTGGTGTGGCCCTCCAGCGTGACCACGGGCTCCCGCATGGGCAGCACCAGGCCCCCGTCGGGGATCTCCCACACCTGCAGAGAAGGCGAGTGAGTCGGGCACTCCCGCTGCCAGGTCCCGCCTGGGCCCCTGCTCGCGGGCAGCCCACCACCACTCACCATGACCGTGCAGTCTTCAGAGCCGCTGGCAATGACGTTATCGTTGTGCGGGCACCAGGCGATGTCCAGCACGGGGGCCGTGTGGCCACAGACCGTGGGCGCGTTCTTGTCCACACGTCCAGTCTAGAGGGCACAGCGGGCCTCTGAGGAGGTGCTTCTGCCCTCCAAGCCCAGCCCAACCCCCACGGCCCTTCGGAGAGGCAGAGGGGGCAAGGCCCAGGGTGGGAGGAGTTGGTCCTCGGTTTGCCCGAGGCCAGGGTTGTCAGGGCAACTCCAAAGGGCGGGCCCCAGGGCCACAGGAAGCACAGATTGGGGGTGGGGCTGGTCCTGCCCACAGTTAGATCCCGGCCAAGTTCCTCTATCTCAGTTTCTCATTTGTGCCCTGAGGGCCCCGCCCCCACCCGCCTCCAGGCACACGCTAAAGCCGGGACAGGTGCGGGGAAGGGGTCCATGCCTCGGGCTTAGCGTCCCCCAGCAGGTGTGTGGGAATGGTGGGCTGTGGGCCTGGCCTTCTAGGAGAGGGACCGGGAAGTGTGTCATAACGCCCCAGACAGGAGCAGAGGTTTGGAAATGCCACTTCCGGGGACAGCCGTGCAGAAGGGCTTCCTGCATGCAGAGCAGGCCCCGCTCACCCTCACAACCACTTCCTCTTCTCTCTGCTTCCATCGGCCCTTTTTTGGTAACAACTTCGGGCCCATCTCCCCTTCCTGTGTCACCGGCTAGAGCACAGCAGTGTGCTGGGGATAGGGGTCAGCGGGCAGCAGGGCAGGGGGACGGGGTCAGAGGCAGGCAGGGCTGGGCCAGGAGAGGGCCCTCTGTATCATCCTGCCCGGGGGCTGCTGGGCCAGAACTTGCTGGGTTCCCGAGGGCTCTGACAGGCCCAGACATGGAGCGCCCCAATTCTCAGAGCACTGCTGGGCCCACCCAGCCCCCAGCCCATCCCTGTCTGTGCCCTGAGGGGAGAAGGCCCCAGGCTGAGGCTTGGGAGACCCTGAGTCTCAGGACTCCCTGTGTGATCCTTCTCATGCCATCTCCCCTCAGACTCAATTTCCATTTCTCCTTTTAAATACATTTTTATTGATTTCAGAGAGGAAGGGAGAGGGAGAGAGAAACATCAATGATGAGAGAATCATTGATCGGCTGCCTCCTGCACACCCCACACTGGGATTGAGCCCCAGCCAAGGCATGTGCCCTTGACCGGAATCAAACTCGGGACCACAGGCCAACGTTCTATCCACTGAGCCAAACCAGCTGGGGCTCAGTTTCCATTCAGGAGCTGGCAAAAGCGTAAAGCTCCTTTAGGCCGGCTCAGTTTTGCAGATGATAACACTGTAACCGAGGGAAGCTTGGTGACAGTCACCTAATCAGGACGGCCAGAGGCTCACCTTGCCCAGGGGCAGCACCAGGAAGGCCCCTCCCCCGCTGGCTTCACAGATCAGGGCCACGAACTTGGGGTTGACAGCGCAGAAGCCACTGTCCCAGGTGGTCTGTGACACGCGCACGTCCTCATAGCACTGGTCGGCCTTGGCCGGTTGTCCAAACACGTGGCGGAACTTGCTGGAGCGGACCACCTGGCGGCTCATCCTGGGCGTGGGGGCGCGGGGAGGGGACGCAGAGGTTGAGAACTTTTCTCCCTTCGGGCCACTGTGACCTTCCAGTTCCTGTCTCCCTCGGAACCCCTCGGCCTGACATTTGAGGTCTCAGCTAACTTCCCCAGAGCAACACCCAGTTCTCCCGGCTCTCCTCTCGGTAACTGACATCCTGCTACCCTCGCACTCTCTCAGCCTCTGCAGCCCTCGCCCCAGCTAACCTACAAGGCCCACCTTCTCCTCTCCCTCGGCTCTTGCCTCTGCAGCCCTGAGCTGGGGCCTTGCAACAGAGTCGCTGTGGGCAGCAGCCAGTGCGCTTGGTCAGGGGCCTGGCTGACGGACAGACAGTGTCTCTGCCATGGCTCACACCAGGCGGCTTCAGCGCACAGTGTGGAGAGGGATTCCCTCAGCCTCAGCATCCAGACCCAGGTCCCTCACACCCACACGGGGAGCCCCCTAAAGGCGGGGGCCGGCTGGGCCACTCTCTCCTGGCACAGCGTGGACAGGTGGAGGGACTGGCACGGGGCCTGCCCAGGAGCCACGCGCTCTGCTCTTCGGGGTCAGGATGGCTTCCTCAGCAGGTCTCTGGGCACCACCAGCGGGCAGGGGGCCTGTGTCCGGGTTTCTCCTCCTCCCACTCCTCTGCCTCACGCCTGCCTTCAGCAGGTGCCCTGAGTGCCACCTACACACACACACACACACACACACACACACACGCATGCACACGCACACACACGCATGCACATGCACGCACTGGAACTCCACACAGGGAGAGCAGCCGACTTCTCGGAGGTCCAGCTGGGATGGTTTCCCTGTTGGCTGGGCAGAGAGCAAGCGGGGGGACCGCCTCTGGCCCCCAGGTACAGGAGGGGTTTCTGGGGAGGACAGGGCCGGGCTGCCTGCTGGGAGGGCCTCTAGCCGCTCCCCAGCTTCACCAGGTCCCCCACTCTAGGGCCTGGTCCGTCCCTGCGCGGCCCCGCGCCCTCACCACCCGGTCCTCTCGGAGCCTGCAGCGGGGAGCATGCCAGGGGTGAGAGGCAGCCTGGGGCCGGAGCAGCCCCAGGTGAGAAGCCTGGGCTTGGGGAGCAGGGAGCCCCGAACCCGAGGTTGGAGGACAGGAAGCCATCGCCCCATCCTGCGCCTCCCCCACCGCAGGTACCAGGCCAGAAACCACGGAAAGGGGAACTTGGTCTTTTCTTGTTTTGCTCTCAACCCCTTCCTGTCTCCAAGCTCAGGGCAGCTGCTCCGTTCACCCCACCCTGCCCCCACCCCCACCCACCCAAAGGCTCCCGTTCTGGGGAGAGTCTCCCCCCCCCACGTGTCCTGGCCCCCCCACGTCCACCTTGGCCCCGTGGCCCTCACCCTGCCCCCCTCGGCGCTCCGGGCCCGCAGATGGGCCTCCCACGCGCTCCCCTCGCGCAGGGCTCGGTCCCCATCCCGGGTGACAGCTGCCGCCCCCGCAGCGGCTGTGCCAGCGCCGCCCACAGGTGGCCCGGGCCGCGGTGCCCGGTCCCTCCGGGTCCCCCGGGTCCCTCCGGGCCAGGACCGCGGGCTTACCTGCGGCGGAGACCTCCCCGGGGAGGAGGGCGAGAGGGCGGAGGAAGCGCGGAGGAGCCGAGGCGCCGCTGAGGATGCTCTTGTCAAGACAATGAATGAGACGCCGGGCCACCCGCCTCCTTAGGGTGGCAGCGCCCCTTTGGGCGGAGCTCCTGCCGGCCCGGCCCTGCCCTCCGCGGAGCGCCGCCCGCCCTGCGCCCCGCCCTGCGCCCCGCCCGCCCCGCTCCACGCCCCGCGCCGCCCGTTCCCAGCCGGAGCGGTGCCGCTGGCAGTCTGACTGCACTTTTAATGTCAAAACGCCAAAATACTCTGCTCCCCTCCCCCTGCAGTCTACTCCCAGCCCGCGCCCCTCCCTCCTTCGCCGGGCCCCGCGCCCACCCCGCTCACTGCCCGCCCTCCCGCCGCGGGGACCCGAGCACCGGCCGCGGGAGAGCCCTGCGCCCCCCGCGCGCCCCTGGGAGGCCCGGCTGGTCCCGGCTCCTGCGTTTACAAATGGGGGCCCTGGAGGAGCCCTGAACCTCAGGTCTCACGTCTTCGGGGGGTGGCGGGTAGGGGAGAAAGGAGGGGACTCGCGGAGGGGGTGAAATAATTTGGCACGGGGAGCCCCCTGTGCGGGGCTGCCAGGTGACCTGCCCCTGGAGCGCTCAGGCCACCAGGAGGAGAGGAGCCACCAGCCCGGAGAAAGCCAGGAGCCTGGACTTCAGACCCAAAGGATGAGGGTGTGTGCCACAGCCAGCGGGCCAGAAAGCCTGCTCCCAACCAGAGGCTCTGTGCACTCACTCCCACCGCCACCCCTGCTGGGGGCCGTGGGCAGGTCACTGAACCTCTCTGAGCCTCAGTCCCTCCCTCTGCAACGGAGTGATGCTGACCCCATAGGATCACGGGGAAGGGAAAGCCTTATGCGTTTCAGGGGGTGGGGCGATGCTTCATAAATGTTACTTCGGCCGAAACCGGTTTGGTTCAGTGGATAGAGCTTCGGCCTGCAGACTGAAGGGTCCTGGGTTCGATTCCGGTCAACAGCATGTACCTTGGGTGCTGGCACATCCTCAATAGGGGGTGTGCAGGAGGCAGCTAGTCGATGTTTCTCTCTCATCGATGTTTCTAACTCTCTATCGCTTTCTCTTCCTCTCTGTAAAAAATCAATAAAATATATTTTAAAAATAAATAAATAGATAGATAAATGTTGCTCTTCTCACTATTGCTGTTTGCGGGTGTTTGGCCAGGACCTGAGAGGGTGAGGAAGAGCCAACAGGCCCGACTACAGCAGGTCTTGCAGGCTGAGGGCAGCCTGAGCAAAGGTCCCAAAACAGGAGTTTCAAGGGGCTGATTCCAATCCTACCTCCACCACGGATTGGCTGAGTGATCCTGGGCACGAAGTCTAACCTCTCTGAGCCTCAGTTTCTTCATCTGTAAATGGGGGGTTCATACTACTTGTCCCGCCCACCCCACGAAGCTCTGAGGCTCTAATGAGGCAGTGTGTTCTACGGATCGTTGTGTTGAAGACACGGGGGTTGTGTTGTGCCTGAGATCCTGCAACTGCTACCGGACTGGGCTCCAACCGCCACAGCTGAGTTCACAAATCGCGAGCCTGGCTTCAGACTGAGCAGCGCTCCCCTTGTGGGAGCACACTGGCCACCAGGGGGCAGGTTCTATGTGGAGCATCTGCCCCCTGGTGGTCAGTGTGCATCATAGCGATGGTTGACTGGTCGTTCCGGTCATTCTGGTAGTTCTGTTGTAACAAGGGCTTAGGCTTTTATAGCTATACTAGAGGCCCGAGGCACGAAATTTGTGCATGGAGGGGGGGGGGGTGTCCCTCAGCAGCTGTGGGTACTGAGCCTGCGGGGTGTGGGCATGGTTCATAGTGCTGTAGGCTTTCTACACTCATTTAACCACACAGCACCCCGGCGGCAGCTGCCACCTCCGTTTCACGGAGAGGAACCGGGCACCACTGCCTTCAGCCCCGGAGCCATCGGCAGCGGGCGAGCACGTCAGTGAGGGACCTGGGAACCATGCCCAAAGGCAACAAACCCCAACCCAGCAGGCCAGGGGAGCGGACGGAGGGGCCCACATGCTGCTTCCACCCTGCAGTGGGTCTGCAGCGCAGGCGGGGACGGGCCTGGGGCTGCGGCAGGCAGGGCACAGAAGCCAGGCCGGTGGAAGGGAGGAGGAAGCAGCGGACAGCGGACACAGAGAGTGGGTTCAGCGGTGCTGGTGACAGTGGTGACGGTGGTGACGGTGGTGAAGGCGGTGAAGCTGGTGAAGGTGGTGAAGATGGTGAAAGCGGTGAAGGCGGTGAAGCTGGTGAAGCTGGTGAAGGCGGTGAAGCTGGTGAAGCTGGTGAAGGCGGTGAAGCTGGTGAAGGCGGTGAAGCTGGTGAAGATGGTGAAGGCGGTGAAGCTGGTGAAGGCGGCGAAGCTGGTGAAGCTGGTGAAGGTGGTGAAACTGGTGACAGTGGTGAAGCTAGTGAAGGCAGTGAAGGCGGTGAATCTGGTGAAGCTGGTGAAACTGGTGAAGGTGGTGAAGCTGGTGAAGCTGGTGAAGGCGGTGAAGCTGGTGAAGCTGGTGAAGGTGGTGAAGGCGGTGAAGCTGGTGAAGGTGGTGAAGGCGGTGAAGGCGGTGAAGCTGATGAAGCTGGTGAAGCTGGTGAAGCTGGTGAAGGTGGTGAAGGCAGTGAAGGTGGTGAAGGTGGTGAAGGTGGTGAAGGCGGTGAAGCTGGTGAAGGTGGTGAAGCTGGTGAAGCTGGTGAAGGTGGTGAAGCTGGTGAAGGCGGTGAAGCTGTTGAAGGTGGTGAAGGTGGTGAAGGTGGTGAAGGTGGTGAAGCTGGTGAAGCTGGTGAAGGTGGTGAAGCTGGTGAAGGTGGTGAAGCTGGTGAAGGTGGTGAAGCTGGTGAAGGTGGTAAAGGTGGTGAAGCTGGTGAAGGCGGTGAAGGCGGTGAAGGTGGTGAATCTGGTGAAGGTGGTGAAGCTGGTGAAGGTGGTAAAGGCTGCGCAGGCGCCTCCTAGGCCGGCAGCTGGAGGGTGTCCCTGCGGCGTGCTGTTGGCCCCACACTCTCCGCCTTCCCTTCGGGAACCAAACCGTCCCGCTGGCCACCCCTGAGGTTCAATTTGCTCAAGTCCATGAATGAGGAGCAGACCGTCGGCCCCCTGGGGAAAGAAGCCCGCTTCCCGTGGGTAGTGAGCTGCTAGCCGGACGCCCCACACGGCGGTGGCCCTCTGTCACCACACAGGAGAAGCAGGCAGAAGGAGCCGTGCCGAGGGCTGGGAGGCGAGCTGTGAGCGCAGAGTCATGGCAGCACCGAGTATCTGGATCAGGCTGTGCCTGGTCGCCTTAGCTTTCCTGCTACCTAAGGCATAACTTCCTTTTCCCACACAAGACAATGCGTTTGAGCTGGATTTCTGGTGCTGGGACTGAATGAGTTTTATTTATTTTTAATATAT